AAATGCTAGAAATCAAGAAATCCAAATCTAGAAATAAGGCAAAAACATGAAACCTAAGCATATCTATAAGTCAACTTGCAGAAATCCAAAGACAAAGAGAAATATCTTGAAAGAAGTCAGAGTGAAGGAAAAAACATTTTACTATAGAGGAACAAGAACAAGAATTAGAGTGGACTTCTCTTCAGAAAGCAAAGAAGCAAGAAGATAGTGAGTAAAAGATTTAAGGCATTGAAAGAAGAAATACCACCAACCCAGAATCTTGCATCCAGCAAAAAATATCCTTCAAAAATGAAAGACGGACTCTCTCAGACAATTAAAAACTAAGAGAATTCATAGCCAGAAAACCTGCCCTGCAAAGAAATATTAAAAGGAAAATTACATAGGTCAGAAATTTAGATCTAAATACAGAAAGGATGAGTGTTGGAGAAGAAATAAAGGAAGATAAAATCAAATCTGTGACTTTTTAAAAAGCCTTAGTTGAATCTAAAAAATAACAGTTTAAAGTAATAGTAACAACGTATTAAGTGATAATAGCATATGGGTAAATGAGTGACAGCGACATCTTAAGGGATGGGAAGGAGGAATGGAGAATACTGTTATTTGAAGGTGGACTTAGTTTAAAATAGACTGTAAACCTAAGCAAACATTAACATTTATATATATACACATACATACATACATTCATATATATATATAAAAAGTACACACTAGAAGGTGCCAGAGACCCAAGGCTGTAGGTCTCTCCTTTCCAGGCCCATTTCCTCATCTGTGAAATTGCATGGTTAGAATAGATATCTCAGATTCCCTTCTTGCTCTGAAATTCTCTAAAAAATTAAAATAAGTTAAATAAAAAGGCTACTTCTTCAAGAATATCTATGAGGAAGAGTCTTTTGAAAGGTATAAAAAGCCTTTTTAAATAATCAATCCCCTACTCTATTACTTGAGTAAATTTGGGTTTCCATATTTTCATGCTGAGTCGCATTTTAGCAGGTTGATCTAGTAAGTATAATAAAATATTGGATTTGCTCACCTGGTTCAGCCATTCTCAATGCATTGTGCTGTAGTAAAAAACACACGAGGCTGAAAGGAAAAGGCCATTTCACAGTATTGATTTCACCACCAGAGACAGCACAAGATATGTGCCTTTCAATCCAAAATAGAAATAAACCGAGCTGCCTCCTTGCCTAAAGAGCTCATAATTAGTTTGTGATTACCTCCAGATCTGTCAATAAACTTTCCTTCCTTTGCTCACTGTCAATACACTTCTGAGCTCAGTGTACACATTTATGAGCCGCAACTTCCCTGTCAGTCAAAAAGTTTTGCTCTTCTACATTATCGCTTAAGTTGCAGTGTTCGTTAGAAAAAAAAAAAAAAAGTCACATTGGGGCTAGCCTAGAGAGCACTGTGGAAATGGCCTGCTCCTTCTGAAATGAGATACACATCTTGCTTCAGGTTAAAGCTACTGAAAAAACACAGCCTCATCTCCAGACTTTGCTACTCTAACCCCTTGCAATAAAAATCCCCAACAAGCAGAATTCTACTCATAAGGTCTATTTTCAACTTTAAGGCCATCTGCTTTGTGGCAGACAGATATAAATGCTTTAAGCCTCACGGGGCTCGTATCTATTCTAACAGTTACTTGCATTCTACTTTTGCCCTACTGGGAAATAAAAGTGGCATGGAAGTCAATGTTTCACTCTGGGGGAGAAAAGGGCCAGACCGGACATCGATACATTCCTTCCAGAATTAGACGGTTCTTCAAAGCACACTTAGCTAAATAAATTCCAATAGGCCCAGATGAGTCGAGGTGTAGGCATTAGCTGGAATAAAGAGCAAATCTTGTTCGTTAAAGATCTTTGGCTAATAGGAGAGTCTCTACTTGTTAGAGTAAGAAACAATCCAAGAGACTGTGTAGTCAATAACTCTCAATTTTGAATTTTATCCAAGTGTTTCAGACAATTTAGGAGTCCCTCAAGCCAGGAATTCAACTGCCCAGAAGTAAAAATGAAGAAATTCAGACCAGGAGCAATATGGCTCCTTTTCAGGGTATTAGGGTATTCATCCCAAAGGCTCAATTTCATACAACAGCATGGGATTGTGAGAAAAGTTCAAGTTCCACAGCCAGGTGAAGATTTGTTTACACCACTTTATGGGATACCAGATTCTGTGTAATTTGGATGTGTTTGGGACAGAATGCAGTTTTTTAAGGGAAAAAAGGTGACTTTAAACTGCTGTTCCAGATGTCACAGTCCAATGGAGATAGCAAGATCAAAGCTTCATGTTTAAGGAAATTATTATTTCCTTTTTTCTCATTTTTCCAGCTGATAAAGTACTGCTTCTCATTCTAAACCACATCAAAATACTCTAAAGTCAGGATGTTTCTGCCTTTTAAGCTCAGTCCAAACATGATAAAGTATTTCTAAAGTTAAAAAATATATATATTACTATATATTTGCCTCTTTGCCAACAGTTTACAAATCAAAAAAGGGTGTTTTGGTAACGAAATGAGAAAGGCAGCACTTGCCTTCATTTCATTTTTAGTGGTGAGTTCAGGTAATCCTAGTATTTGCAATGATCTACATGCCTCTTAAACAGGGAGGAGGGGGAGGTGGAGGGAGAGAGAAGGAAAGAGAAGTAGATGACCCTTGGCTAACAGAGTTTCAGAGATTTGAGGTCAATGAAACCCGTGCCAGGTTCAATATATCTATTTCATTGCTCAGTCACACGACTTTTGTAGGTTAAATCACAAAACTTTTTCTAAATGAAAGGGAAGCTAGTAGTGAAGAGGTCTAAAGTAAACAAAACGAAGCAAAAACAGTACTGGAAATTTCTAGGACTGTAAGGTTCTTTTTGAACTTACAGAAAACTTAGAAAGGAGAGACCTGGTGATCACCACCTTAACCACTGTAGCATCATCGACAGAGACAACCTGACATTATGTGCCTCTGATGAGATGGAATTTCATAAGAGTTTGGAATCTTCTTGCCAAATATGTTAACTTGAATCCAGTCATGAGGAAACAAGTAGAACATTCTACAATAATGGATATTCTATAAGACAATTGTCTTGGATTCTTTAAACAAGCCAATACATGAAAAAAGGATTATTCTAGATTTTAAAACTAAACAGCCAAATGCAATGTATAAACATTCAATGGATTCTGGATTGTACAACAAATGGGTATCATGTAGAAGACATCTTTGGGGCATTTGGAAAAATTGGAATACGAAATGTTTATCAGGTATTGTTGCATTACTAGTAATTTTCTTATGTAATGATATTAGTGGATATATAAATGCCATTCTTAGAGGTATGCTGAAGCAAGGGGGTGGGAATGAAGGGTGTGTAACTTATTTTCAAATGATTCAACTAAACTAAGTACATATACTATCTATGCGTGTGTGTGTATACATATGCATGGAGAAATAAATGTAGCAAAATAAAACAATTTGGTGAATCCAAAGGAAGACTATACCAGTGTTCGCTATACTATTCTTTCAACACTCCTGTAGATTGTTTTCTAAGGTCAGGGGAAGAAAATACTTTTGTTTCTCACGACAAGCATCTCGTCTTCTTTTCATCAGCTTTCTCCAATGACTTTTAAATTTCTACTCACTTGGGATTTAAACGGTTTGTAGAAGAGAAGACCACTACCCTCAGCAGATGAGCCTTTCGTTTTAATTCATGGAATTAGGAGTTAGGTGTGAGGCTAAAGAGCTCTAACATTTTCAAAATCTCACTGATTTTGTGTGACAGGGTAACTTCAAACCGTTCTGAGTCTGGAGTCAGGAAGCTGCCCAATTCCAGTATAGTGCCGTTTACTTTTAAAGAACCTCACTAAAAAATGCTGTGTGAGAACAGTTTTTAAATGAGTATCAAATTATACAGTGCCAGCACCCTTCTTTTTCCTCAGTCTCCTTCCTGTGCTGCTCCTGAACACACCCTTCCATCAGAATTACTATTTTCTTATGTCATGTTGGCAAGTGTGTGTCCTGAGTTGTGAAGTTTCGTGAGGCAAGTATCTCGTTCTAACCCTAGAATTTAGATTAGCGCTATGGCATTTCAAAACAGGAACTCAACAAATACTAGTTGAATAAAGGAATAGGTAAAATAAAGATCTAAGGTGAAGATTTTCAAAGGGAAGCTAACATGAGTATTTTAACATGTACTGGTGTGGCTTCTCTGATACGGCTGGTAAGAGAGGGAGGAGGAACCATTCATAATAAAAACTTTACAATTTTATTGTTAGCCCCTTCGTCAGAGGGTGGGAGAACTCTCAGGAATATAAAATAAAGAGAAAAAGAGGATATTACGGAACAGAAAGGATCATTACCTTATATCAGGAACCATAGTTCAACCAGAGGTCTGAGTTGTTTGCCCAAAACTTAATATGGTTGCTATAAGGCTGCATTAATAAACAGAATACTGCATATCAATAATTACATTTTATGTCTTAACTGAGCACTTAAAAATTCAAGATAAACTAAGTCTTTTTTCTTGAGCTATTTACAAAGCCCATTTTAACCTAAGAGTTAAAAAGAATGAACCAAATGCTTTAAGAGATGTTTACTTTTTTTGCAAAGTAGCTATTTTAGTAATATTTGCTATAACGCTATAATGAAATCTTTCAGGAACCAGAAAGATGAATACTTTACCACAACTGAAAAACTGGAGCTTGTTTGAGAATTTCTGATAACACTAATGGGAATAGTGCCTCAAATGAAAATAATTAAGTCAACAAAAAGAAATTCTTCTTAGATCAGTCTTGAGAATTAAGTAATAATGATAAAGAAATATATTAAAGAAGTGTTTAGTCTTTAAATGAAAAGAGAAATTAAAAGAGGAACTAGGATTTGCTACATACAGCACTACCACCTACTAGGACAGCACCAACACCAGAGTATGAAAGGAAACTTCTCTTTAAAATTCACCACGCGATTTTTATGAACCAGGTTTTTTTGAGAGGAAAAAAAAAAAAAAAGACTCGGACAAATCAAAGGTAAGGTATCTTTGGAAAATTTAATTTGGACCATATTTTCTTTCCCTTGCTGAAAACATCCAATATTTCCAAACATTTTGGGTTCCGTAGCTTACAAAGGGGCAGTGGGTTTCCTGCAGTTACATACTGCACCCAACTTTCTATAGAAAGATCAGATATTTTCCAACCTTGCTTTTGAGTATTTCCTTAAAAATGCTTTAAAGGTTCCTTTTAATAAATGGCCAGTGAAACAAAATAAGGCTTTATTTTCTCCTTTTCCCCCTTTTTTGGTACTGCATGCTGAATAAGAAAGGAAGACTTGTCACATCAGTTGGTACACATTCCGAGTCCTCCAAGGTGTACCCATATCATCGAGCCCTGATGCACCCCTGAACTGAGGAGCCTGAAATGGGTGTCAAATATCCTTTCAGAATCACATCACAGCATGGGGGAGTGGTGTCTGTGGGTCACCTGGGTCTTCTTGGTGTTCCCAGGGCTCCTGGCCTTGGGAGTAACAGAGGAACTAGGACCAAATCACGACCACCAGAGGCCTTCCACCTGGTACTGCATTACCACAGGTTCACGTCTACGGGCCTTACGATGATGTGCATGTAAAGTCTAAATGTAATTACTTAAAATAAAATGAGAAAAAAATCCCTTTACTAATTCCCGTATCAAATTACTAGAATGAAAATAAAAACATTTGTCTGATAAAACACGTTTTCTTTGTCAGATGAAAGCATCTTCCTTCCAAGGTAATCTCAGTAATGTATATTTGTCAGTATTTTTATAGTTTTGTTTGGTGCACAAATTTCTTAACTGCATCTGACACAGCTTTGTCATTTTTTGAACTAGTAGTTTCATTAGCTTAAAAATGGGATAAGGCAACCAAATTTAAATAATTTTGGTTGCAGAAAACCATCTCAGACGTTAATCTTCATCTTCTCAAATGTTAAGAGCACATGATTAAAAGGTAATCAAACAGTTTCTTCTCTTAACAGGAAACTAAGCAGCTATTGTCATCAACTCTCTACAGTAAACACAGGGCCCCTCATAAATATAAAATTAAATTCTTTTTGAGGAATAGGTTTGTGATTTTATGTATGTGGGATTTACATTTAGTCACTAAATTTTGTAGTAAAAAATTGTGTGGTCTTCACATCTTTATTTTCATACACAAGGGATTATTTCTTCATCGTCTCAGCAGGCTCTCACACCCAGATGGCTGGCTGGCTTCCTTGGCTTGTTTCAAAAACGGAGCAGCCACATGTCATGTGCTCTCAGAAGCCGTGTAAAAACTCCTGTAGCTGGGTGACGATCTCTGTGTCTACCGTCTCCATGAGGGACTGGAAGCCTTGCTCTCCCAGTAGCTCCTGCTGTGCCTTGAGCTTCTCATAGATGAACTGCTGCAGTGACACTGTGTGCACTGGGTCCTTCAGGGCCAACTGTGGGACAGAGAGAGGACATACTCTGTCAGAGGCAAAACAAGTCCCTCTCCTTTGTGACTAAAATTCTTTGTAATCTCTTCCATAGCAACACAACTGCTTCTGTCTCCCTTCTTACAAGGGACTCTAAAACAGCTTCATTGTGGAAAAGTTTGTCAAAGAAAATGTCATTCAATTAGTCTAACCTCAGTTCCCCCAGGCCTCTGAGAATAAACTGTTTGATGAGTCCAATTTCTTAAGAGCTGAGAGTTCATCCTTGTAAAGAATCAAAACCAGTTAGAAAGTGTCCCAAAAGGAACAGAATAGACCGATGAGCATTTAAATCCAATTGTCCAGGATTCCTATTCAGGCTCTCCACTGTAGCAGCTCAGCAGGCCCTCAGAACACTCCCTATCCTGGATTGTGATGCTATTTACATTGATGTATATGCTTCTGAATTAAAAGAGAAATTTAAAAAATATAAAAACCTAACACATACTTTTCCTCCCTCATTGGGATATTTGGAAAACAAAAGAAACACAATTAAATTAAAAATAGTCCATCATTCCACTCCCTAAAGACAACATTCTGGCCTCTTGTCTTTTCTGTTCTTGCGGTATGCACATATACACATACATGTAAGCACATAATCACTACTGCTCTTTGCATTTATATTATAACAAAAAAAATTCTATTCTAACACCTTTTAAGAATTCTAAACCTATGTCATGATATTTTTTGTTACAGACATGTTGAGGTAATCATGCTATAGTTTAAATACAATCTTAACTATGTTTTACTGAATAATCTACCACGAACACTGGTCATGTTACTACATATACAGACTTCCTTCTGTATTTCGTATTATTTCCTTAGGAAATCTGTCTCTATCTCAGAAGGATTACTAGATTCAAGGGCATAGACAATTTTATGACTATGGTTTGTACCAGTTTTAAAAGGTATGATTTTTTGGCTTGTGGTATTGTTGTTACTACTGGTACTATCATTAAGCTCTTCATAACTGGAGAATTGAAAAGTAGTGCCACTGCTTTAAGCCATGCATTTCTCTCATTATCAATAAAGCTGAACATCTGCAAGGTTTTAGGTAAATGCATGTGTTTTTGTCATTCCATATGGCTGCATAGAAATTCTTTTTCCTTACTGATAGTCAACTGTATTCTAGGTAGATGAAACGGCTGAATTACATCTGCTGTTTGAGTAATGTAAACAGATTTTAAAATAATGACCACAAATGGCAAATATAAGTGAGAGGAAGAGACATAGACGGCATGAATTTGAAATTAAACCCCTTAAGTGACCATTCCTGAGTTATAGGATACATCCAAGGCAAAGTAATTTCAATACTCATTTCCCTGGAAGATGGATAGGAGGAAGAATACCAAGAAATGCAGATACGAAGCCCTGCGTTCACAAACCTAAAGATATCATTCCACAAAATTTAAGATTAACATTTAAAAATATCTACTCCTTTAAGTAACATGCAGTAATATTCTGTATTATGTTAATTATCAAGAAATTGACCCCTTACTAAAGAAAGTGTGGACTTTGTTGAAATAGCAGGAATTATCCGTAACTAAAACTATCTGCTACAAAATAAGTAAAAAGCAGCTGAGCTTGAAATCGATATCCAACAAGTCATTCCAACTACTGAAATGAAAATTAAGAGTGTAGTTCAAATGCTGTTATAAAAACAAAACAAAACACTATAAAAGTTAATATCAAATCTCCACTCTATAATTTTCAACAGATTAATTTAAAAAATATACTAAACCCACAAGGTATGGCATAACACTACATCGGTATAATATTTTTAAAAAGTGTATTGATCAGATTAAAAGCATTAATCTCTTTTAGAAGCAGAATTGTGAAAGGGAGAAGGAAGGGAAAGGACATACAGAATCTCTAATTCCGCACATTAAGAGAGATTGAAAAAAACTTTTTTAAGTTAAAAGAAAACCCCTACATGTTAGCAAATAAATGTTTATTTTGGCTTGGGGTAGACATTCATTAATCATAGCTATTAACACCTTCTTTTGAATATCATATGAAATAGATTGACTAAATGTTTCTCTAGAGAATTATTGCTACACATTGACTAAACATCCAGATATCATTTCTAAGAATATAACAGTGTCTATAGTCACTAGAATTAAGAAATACTGGTCACTAAAAGCATTTTCAAAACTGTTTTATACAAATAAGTCCCACCTAACATTATACACATAGTTATCTGATTTAATATGAAAAAATATAGAATGCATTCCTGAGAAAATAATGTTTTTAATGTAATAAGTAAATTATAATTAAGATAAATCTGCTGCTGGAAAAAATATACTGCAAAGGTTGACGTGGTCTCCACTCCTGTGCAACTGAAAATCTACATATAACTTTTGACTCCCCCGAACTTAACCATTAACAGCTTACTGTTGTCCGAAAGTCTTACTGATAACAAACAACTGATCAACACACATTTTGCACATTACATGTATTATATACTGTATTCTTACAATAAAGAAAGCTAGAGAAGAGAAAATTATTAAGAAAACCATAAGGAAAATACATTTACAGTACTGTACTAGATTTATTAATACCATAAGTATACTTCATCTGTTTATAAGGTGAATCATCTGTCTGTTAGTACGTACATCAATATTATCTTATATAATACAAAACACTGTAGACGCTCTATGTATTACTAACATTAGACATCAAAAATGAAAAGATAATGTGAAAAATAAATTCATATTTATTTACAGGTATAACAACTCACACATTGATAACAAAGAAGAAGCAATATGACTGATTTATAGTAACCTAGTATAATCAATACAATTGCTTCATAGTAGCTTAGCCTGTACATTAATGAATAAATCACTATAAAATTTTTATGGCATTCCTCATACATACAATGTTTTTAATGTAATAAGTAAATTATAATTAAAACTGCTCTTGGAAAAAATATACTACAATATACAATGGCATTAATTTACAGTCACATTCATAATACAGCACTGGAAACATTATTACATTTTTTTAAAAAACTACTTACCTGTGATAATAGGCACAGTTTCTACAATTACAAGAGAGGCATACTGAACAGTAATGTAATTCTTGAAAAGCAAAGTTATAAAACAGTAAGAAAACTAACATTAATTTTATATCAAATATCACTCACTTTATGCCTATGTAAGGACAGGCTATCCACTTCCATACAAGTCTTGCACACGATGTTTTACAGGATGAATCGTGAGGAAGTAATGATGATGATGATGACACAAAAACATCTCATATAGTTCTGTACAGTTATTAGATTTTCACATGAAGACACACATACATAACAGATAAGTTTATTAACTGTATAGCATGATGTTTATTTACTATTCACTGATAGTGGATCATCATGAAGATCTTCATCCTTTTTTGCTTTTTCATTTCTCTAAAAATGTTTCTTTATAGTACCAATCCTTCTTCGACCATTTGCTTTAGTTTCAGTGCTTGAATTATAGAGGGGTCCATGTTGTAAAAGAAGTCAAAAAGAGTCTTGAATAATAAGAACACTTCTGCCAGATTGTCTAATGTCAATCTGTTCTCTGACACTGCTTCTTCTACATCTCCTTCCTCATTGTTTGCCACTGGTTTGGTAGCACTCATCTCCATCAATTAGTCTTTTGTTAATTCCTCTGGTGTGGCATCTAGTAGCTCTTGAATTTCTACAAGATCCATATCTTGAAAGCCTTCACTCCTCTTCTGTTATCAAACCCACAATCTCATTCAGAATTTCCTTGATTGGTTCTATCGTAAAGACTGTGAAGTCATGCACAATGTTTGGACACAGTGTTCTCCAGCAGAAATTTATTGTTTCAGGCTTAATGGCTTTCACAGCTTCTATAACAACATCATCTTCGATGGTATAATGCTTCCAGACTTTCATGATGTTCTCTCTCTGTGAGAGTTCTCTTCCATAGCGCTGACAATCCTTTCCATAGAGCACCACGTGTAAAGTGCATTAAAGGTCCTTATGCCCTGATCTAGAGGCTGAATTAGAGATGTTGTGTGTGGGGGCAAGTAAACCACTCTGATGACTTTGGTAGTGAACTCATGGGGTTCTAGGTGGCCAGGGGCATTGTTCAGTATCAAAAGAACTTTAAAAGACAGTAATTGCATTACTGGCAATGCAATTCCTGACTTTAGGGACAAAGCATCGATAGAATCAATCTAGAAAAAGTGTTCTTCTTGTTGTCCAAGCCTTCCTGTTGTACAACTACAAGATTCACAGTTGGTGTTTATCTTTTCCCTTCAAGGCTCAGAATTTAGCAGCTTCAAAGTTAAGAGCAGTCCTGATCATAAATCTGAGGTTTGCACGAAACAGCAGAGTTAGCCTATCCCTTCCTGCCTTAAATCCTGGTACTCCTTCTCTCCTTTACTAATAAATGTCCTTTGTAGCATTTTTTTTTTTTCCCCAGAATAGGTCACTTTTATCTGCATTAAAAACCTACTCAGGAAGATTTACTTTCTCCTCAGTGATTTTCTTAGTAATATCTGGTTTTTAGTAATGTCTGGAACTCATCTGCTGCCCCTTGCTCAGTGGAAGCTTCTTCTGTTGTCTTGACATTTTTTAAGCCAAACCTCTTTGCAAAATTATCAAAGCATCCTTCGCTGGCATTAAAACCACTAGTTTTAGATCCTTCACCTTCTTTTTGCTTTAAGTTGTTATAGAATGACTTCGCTTTTTCTCGAATCATATTAGATAAGAGTCTATAGGTATGCCTTTCTTATAGCAATCCTGCACCCACATAAAAGCTGCATTTTCAGTAAGAGATAAAATGGTATTTCGCGAAAAGTGCAAGGTGTTTGCACCTGCTGGCATAGCTGAAGCAATGGCTTCACAAATTTCCTTTTCTTTTTTTACAGTACTCCTTACACTGGGTTCATTTATGTTGACATAGCAGGCAACTGCAGTTGCAGGCATCAATTTGTGGTACATATTAAGCAATTCAACT